TTATGGACTTCAGGTGATCTAAAAACGCAGTTGCTTTTTCAGATTCTAAAATTTTGAAAGTGTTTCCGCTTGTAGAATCTTGGATTTACAGGAGCAGTAAGAAGGGCTTTCTCCTCAAAGTCCTTCCATGAATATGTTGCTGACTATGGGGAATACAGGTGAGCCCATCTACTTGCTTGTAGAACTCTTCCTTCCACAATAGATAGCCAGATGTGTAGCAGTGTTTGAATAATACTGCATATTCTGCAGGCATGTTGTTATCTTCTAGCTTCCCAGTTACAATTAAGATGCAGTCTTCAATAGGCAAGCATGTAAATAGTGACTTAACATCAAAACTGACCATAGTTTGATTGTCAGTGAGATGTAGGTCTTTTATTTCCCTAACGAAATGGTATAAATCCTTTGTGTGTGCTCTGGTGTGTCCTCTCGGTGGTGACAGTATTTTTGCCAAGTGTTGTGCTATCTTATAATTCAGTGAATCGATATGGATCATTATGGGACGTAGTGGAGCGTTTGGTTTGTGTATCTTCGGAAACTTAACTTTAAATATGTATTTCACTGATTTTTAAAATGGATGAGCTTAGTGATTTCTTAAATTTACGCGAACACTACACATTGAATAAAACTAAATTTACGGATTTTATCGAGTTTATTTCACTACTTTTACTTATTTTTCCCCCGTGTCCCCCCCCCCTGACCATGGTTGCTGTAAAGCACCCGAAACGTCGGGAATTAAAAAAAAAAAGTAAAAGTAGTGAAATAAACGCGATAAAATCCGTAAATTTAGTTTTATTCAATGGATGAGCTTAGTATAAAATTGTCTCACAGAATTTTTAGGATCTGTTTTCCTGGATAAGTAAAGTAATCTTATGTCTATGTATTTTTCCATTACACTCTTAGCTAAATCAACGACATGATTACAACTTTCGTGATCAAATTGGTGATTTTTTATTTCAGGAAAGATATCCTCATTAACAAAACTTCTTAATATTTGTGTTACAAGACGGAATTTGTCTTTGTAATATATTTTAGAACCTTGATATGAATCGATTGAGCTTCGAATGGCTTGTTCAGATCGTCTGAAAATTTTGGTGACCATATTGGACGGGAACAGTAGTCCTCCTGCATCTCTTGCGTAAATTAAACTGGTTTTTCTCTCATCTAGGGATATTAAAGCTTTAACGCACTTATTACATTTGATATTTTTTAATAAGTAATGAACAACAGCGCCAGCGAGATATTCTATTATGCTTTCTGAAAACTGAGATAACGGCATATTATGTAAGGAATTAATAAAAGTTTCATCAACACGCTCCTCAGTCTCGCAAGTTTCACCCCTTTCAGTTGCCATATTTACGCGTTTTATAACTGAAGAACAGTTTAATATGGCTATATGTTCTAATGCTATACAATTACCGGTATTAAAATCTTGCAGTTCCATGTGTACAAGCATTTTTCTGTAAATTCCATGAAACTGTTTTGGTGTTGGATTGTTATTAGCCCCTCCATGTGATCTCATATTGCAGAAAAACAGTTCAATGTGGTCTTGACTGATACGGTGAAACGATATATAAGGACAGCGATGGTTCTTTATCAAATCATTAAATAAAAATGTTGCACTTTCAATACATATACAAAGTCCTAAAAATCCGGTAAGTCTCGGTGTATCAATTAATCGCGTCTGCTTATATTTGAAATCAGTTGTCAAATTCAACAACACATTTTTGCACATTTCAAGTTTTGATAAAACAACTTCAGAGTTTTCAGCGTTTAATGCCCTTTTCAGTCCATATCCATGCACTTTCGAATCTAAGATATCGAATAAGTCGTTTAAGACTAACAACATATTAGCTGTTCCATCTATTCCTTGAAACTGGAATATCATCAAGGTATTTTTACAAAATTGGAGAGCTATTGATACACTTCTGCTAAACAATTGAGTGGCAAGCTTCACTTTCATAATATTCTTTTTAAAAAACAAGTGTTCAGATCGTAGCTTGTTAGCTGCGTGAAACTTCTCATCTTCTTGCAACTGGTGTAACATCTCAATATGACTCCATTTTATATCTTTGCCTTCAGCATCCTTAAATTCCCTGTAATGTTCAAAACTATTTCTAACTAATTTTATCATGTGACCTGGGTCGAAAAAGATAGCTATTTCATTATTTTGTACTTTAAAAACAGTTTGCAAATTATTAAGATTTAAATCGCAGCCGAGTTTCTTGGCGATTGCTATATTGGCTGGACAGCCATCAAAGGTCACAGCTTTGACTACTAATCCTGCTTCAAGGCATAACTCAATATCTTGAGTTAGTAATTTTTTTTTGGTCAGCTGTCACTTTATTAATGAAAAAATACCCAATAGGTACTTTCCATTTACCGTGTAATGCAACTACTAGAAAAACTAATGCGTCGGTACATTCTTCTCTACAGTCAGAATCTACACTTCCACCGTAATCTACATAGCCGTATGTCTTTTCTACTTTCCTCTCAATTTTCATTTCATCAAAAACAATACAGCAATAAATAGGCTGATTTGTCTGTGTTGCCTTAAATTTAAGAGCATCAAAAGCTTCCTTTGTGAAACCTGGACGACCATCTATAGATCTGTACCATTTTCTTAGTGTCTTTACAGAGGGTAAACAAGTATTAAATGTCTTGCGTACATAATTATAAGCCTTTGTTGAGTAAAAATTTAAGGTAGGTGCAAAAGCTCTCAACTGCGGTGAATATTTTTTTCTTACAATTTTTCCTGATTTTCCTTTCAATATTTGACGACGAATAATTTTACTACATTTAACCCCTAAAGAACTTAATGCGTCAGTTTTCGGCTGTTAATAAATTTTTGTGCTCTAATCCTGTCAATAATGCCTTCAAAGAAACTATTTGTCTTTTTAGTCTTCTGTTGGAATCGTTTAACTTTTTAATTTTTTGTCTTTTTTGTTCACTACGTTGGATAATTCGATGATTCTTCTACAAAGATGTTTTGTCACTGGAGTATCAAATGCAGATGGCGTATCAGGAATAAAATAAAATTTTCTTTTTTGTTTTGTAGGCGTTTCTAAACAATGGCTCTGATTTTTAGGTGTTAGCGGGTTATTAGCAGCGTCTTTCAGCGGGGTGTATCACCAATCTAAAATACGTATTCGTTTATTTTAGAATATTACCAATAATTATTTAGAAACTTATAATGAATTTTTTTATTAATTTATACAAGTTATAAACATATCATTAATTCTTATTATAATCATACCGCTTTTTTTAACGATGTACCGGGCACAGGAATTTCCGTATTTTTAGCTGCACTTATGGTAGGGACGGGTGCCTAAAAGTAGTATTATTAATTACTAAACTAAACCATACGGTACATCTTTCTAATTTAGATGTACTTAATAATAATAGGATATTGCTGAAGTTCATGTAACACTAGAATAGCAAGTCAAAACAATAATCACATTATAACTTTCACTTATTTTATGATTTATAAATCCGTTAAAAATAGTTTAATTTCGACGTGTATCATTCGCCTAAATATTAGAATATCACGTTACAATCAACCACTTAATGCTATTACTTATTGTGTAATTTACATTGGTACTAAAATAAAATGAAAAAGCATACTAAAACTGGCAAGTATAGAGATTGTATAGCGGAATCCAACAGCCTTCTACGGTTTTTCATACGATGAAGATGTCTTCCGTGAAGTGTCTTGAGCATATCACACTATTTTTGGTGGGAAAACCATTGATCCCCTCGACAAGTTGCGTCGATCCACATCTTTTTCCTTTCGGGGCATTTAGGAAACCTATAACATACAGGTACCACATACATTATACGTTACTATTTTTATACAATAATGACTACAAAAAAATATATATATATATATGAACGATGACCGAACAAATATCGACGTATAAATCACAACACTATCGTTACACGTGCCGTCGTTAGATAAAGACAACTATTTTAATTTACATAATGAGTGATAGTGACATTTCAAAAAGACATCAACGGGTGCTTAATTGTTATCACCTTGCACCATTAATTTACCAGTATAAGTTGAACTCCGGTGCAGTTGAAATAAGTTAACGTAATAAGAATAGAATTTACTTACCGATGAAATGTTATGCCATCTTTTTGATAACTGGATGTCTTAGCTGACTTGCCACACCATTTCACTGCACAGGAAGCCATTTGTAATGTATTTTTGATACAAAACTATTTTTAAATTGTCAAAAACTCCGAGGCGTCTACGGGTCACAAACTTGGAAACATTGATATCGTGATTCATAGCGTCACTTCATATGCTAGCTACAGCAAGCATGTGTTGCGCGCGTTTGTGGCCCTGTATGCGGAATCTATTAGGAGGTAATCTGTGAATATATAGAAAACTATCAACTACTTTATTTATTTCATTCGCTCTCTTTATTGTTTGAGTTGCATATCCTGTGAACCTGTGATATCCTTGAAAGTCAATAAGTTTTAGTTCTATAAAATGAATTTATTACCTATAGCGTACTACATGCTAGATGACGCTATTACAAATGGAAAATGTTCGGTTCCCAATGGATCTCACAGACTCAACGGAGTACTGGAGCCCGAAGTGATCCAATTGAATGATCGATCCGAATGTACCAGTACGCGTGACTAAAATGTACTAGAATGAAACGGTCACTAGAAATGAATGATTGAGACCTAGCTTGCTACATATTTATTTATCTATGCTTGTCTACCGTATTTGACGGGATTTGAAGGGATTATAGTGTTCTCTACAACGGAAGCTAGATTTCAATATTGGCAACACTGAAACAGAATACTGGTTGCGGTTGTTAGTGGTGGTGTGTGTGTGTCATTGTCATGTGTGTATTTTAGACAATGATAAGACCTAAATATTTTTGTTTTGAGTTTTGATTTCGGTTTTCCTTTTTTACGAAAAATAAAAGTTACATTACGTAACAGCAAGCATATTGTGGTTAAACTTTGAAAGTTAAAGAAACGAAATGGGAAGTCATAACAGCCATGAAAAGGCCGCAGGTGAACAAGGAGGCAGCGGTTCCAGCACTCCTCGAGGGTCCCAGCGTGGTTCACGGTCAGGGTCAAGTGTGGATCAACCTGATAAACAGGAAGTTCAACATTCTACATCCATGGTACCTGTTGAAAAATTGGCAAAGGTTATTTTTTATTTTATACAGACAAGGTTGTTGTCAGGGTTACTTAACTAAACGTCCTTTCTATTTCCTATATTTTCAGCCTAATGATGTTGATGTTATTTTACTGAATTTTGTTCCAATGAGTTTGAGTTAATCTAAATGTATTAACAAAAAATGACTAGCATCAATACACTAACCAATACACATTGATAAGAGATATCTCATTATAGGCTTTAAAATAAGAAATCTAAAGACAAACTGAAAGGTTATAAGTATATTGTTCTACTTTTTCTTATGTAAAAATATGCTGAGACTCCATACATTTGGCCATGTTATGATGGTATTATAATATATTCATATATATTCTATGTTGAGCTTATGTTATTACTTTAGCTCTCTAATATTTATTGTAAGTTTTGTTGCTTAAGTTTCTTCTAGTTGGTATAACTCCTCTTTTAGCTAGGATTTCTCAAGGGTAGATTTTAACCTCTTACCTATTTCTGCTGCTAAATAGCCTAAGATGTTTAAAGTTATAGATATGTCATGCTCGCTAATGCAATGTGGCAACAGGAAAGGCAGGTAATTGCCAAGCTCGCATTCAGTCGGGTACACTCTCGCATCGTGGCTATACTTCGAGTTATTCGTAGCAAAAATGCCTCCATGTGTTTTTAGATGGTGCACAAATTACATGGCAACTGTTAGATACAAGGAAAATGTCTCATTTCATTCGTAAGTTTTTTAATATAACATTAGATGTTATTTTGTTTGACTGTTGTTTAACATGTGTAAGGAAAAGAGCGAGATGTAATCTATGCATGATAGCGAAAGAGACAATGTTATCCTCCGAGTCGGTAAGTCAGTTCACTCCTGCAACATTATTTTTACATTGCTAATATTCCTGTTAACCACACCAAGTAAGTTTAAAATTCCCATTGAAACTTAAATAACAAAAATACTTATATAACAAAAATACTCTCAAAAATTTTTCAAGGACGATTTTTACATGATTGAACATGTTTACAATGTAATAAAGGAAATAGATTTGTCTAATGTATTACTTAACTTCATATTTGCACATACATAATATAAAACACATTTTATATATGTATCTACAAATATTTAATATTTGCACATAAATATACATCTAAAAATCCTTGTCAACTCCTTAGCACAGTGGCTAAGCATTTGGTTATGGCACCTAAAGGTCGCAAGTTTGAATTCCGCACGCCAAAAGTGTTATGTATGGCCTATAAATCATTGATTTGGGACTAGATGTATACATGTTATATTTATTTATGCAAAACATTTCCAGGACATAGGAAACATTTTTTAACTTGTGGCCCCTCACATATTCTGGAGGAAAATGTTTAAATACTTTGTATTGTGTAAAAGCAAATATTATGAACCTTAGTTAAATAGAGTTTAGTAGTGTTTATTTCTGAAAATAATTTGTAATTTTCTCAGTTAAAATACACCTTGTGGTATTGGTATTAATGTGTAAATATATTTTTCAATTTCTTAATTGGACTTGGATTAAAAAGTTTGTGAAACCAGTACAAGTGCTTATCCAAATCACAAAAATGGACATAAGTTACCCATGTAAAAGGTTTTCATCTGTTGTTCAAAGCTTATGCCTTATTCGTTTATCATTATATGGGTGTGACAACCCTAGATCATATTATATCACGTGCGAAATGCGAAACTGAATGTGATAAGTGTTTGCCTCAACTATGTGTTGAGGCAAACACTTATCAGCTTCATTTGATCTTCATATGATATGTGGTATGAGTCAAAGTTTTGGCGTTGGCTGTCTATCAATAATATGCCATTTTTAAGAGCAGAACTTTTTGGTCCTTATTATTTTGTCTGTCATTCTACGCCACTATTTAATTATATCATGCATGCAGTGAAGCAGTCTGCTAAGTCTTAATTCATAGATTACCAGCTTAAACTTCCATTTTAAAACCTTGTGGTTCCCGTTAAGTGTGTTATCAGAATCAGTATCCAATAGAAATAGCGTATAGAAATATTTTTTTTCTAAAAAACACATTTAAAAAAATTAATTTTAATGAAAAAAATTAATTTGCCAATTGTATGTGGTTTTATTTACTCTAACTCACATGAGTATCGGTAATGTGGGGTCTTTGACAATCCTCTTACTCCTATGCATAGATAATAAAACCACATGCAATTTGCAAATTAATTTTTTTCATCTAAATTTTTTTAAATGTTTTTTTTTTCTTATAAAATCTATATGCTTGGATTCTGATCACGCAGTCAACGGGAACCCCAGGGTTTTTGTTACATGTATAGTTGAGGAATGTTAAAACATTAATGTAAGTACCTATTACCAACTTTTGTTAAGGTGTATCCGTGACCAAAGTGTTGCGAAAGTGCGTTTTTCAGACTCTATTATCTCATTAGTTATGAAAAATAAACTACATTTACAAAGCACATTATTAATGTTCGATATCTTATCATCACATTCCACGTTCTAATTCGTTTTTATGTGCTATAAATACATTTAAACACAACTTTTAAAAAATGACTAAAATTCTTGATTACAAGCATCTGCTGCTAAATGCAACGCTCTAATCATTTGAGGATTACACTAATGGATAGATAATTTAAAAATCTATATTCTCCACGTTTTATTTAATTTTTTAAGTTCGTTTTTCTTTTTTAATTGAAATAATTGTGTGAAATTGTGTGAATTCTATGATAAAGGGGCGTGCGCAAAGTGCGGGCGACATTACGCTGTATACGTTCGTACGAGGTAGCTGTGTCGCTATGTATCGTCGACGTTCCGTGATTCGCCACAAACATAATATTATTTGAGTACTGATACCTACTAACCGATGCGTTTACGTGTTTTTTATTATATTTTCACATTATCACAATTGTGAGAATTTGAAAATATAATTTTGTGGATTGATTAGTGCAAATACCTAAATTCAAGAAGAATAAACGTCAACGACGTCAAAATGCTCTAAAGATGAATGAAATTCTGTAAGTAATTTGATGTAGTTCACTTATCAACTTCACTTACTTTTATTCCGTTAAATTCCTACGTGTTATTACATAGTATATTTTTATTTTAGGAGGAAAAGAAAAATACCAAAATAATTATTCAAGTTTACCAGTAATTGAAAATGATAATGGGTAAGTCGGGCGCACTTTTGAGTCCATAGAGTTATGAAATTATAACCAGAATTTATGAAATTTGATGTGATATTTTTTGTGGTTACCATATTATAAATAATATGAACCTTTTCAAATATATAGCTAAAATATGTATCTAAATGATTTATTACAAGTAATTCCGTTTTGTTTTCATGCAAGATCTAATATAATTTATTCGTTATTGTAGGCTAAATACGAACAATGACGATACGGCAGTAAACGACTTGAGTCTAGAAACCATAGAATTACAGTATACCTGTCTTGGTTCAACTGTAATGGTTGAAGACGTAAAGCTTTGTTTATTTAATTTTTGGTTTGTAGATATTATGGTGCAAAAATGTGAACTTACCTAATCAAAATACTTCAGTAGGTATTGTGATTAGGTACACACTTGTGCTTGTGATTAGGTAAGAGATATCTAAGTAAGTACTGTATAATGCCCTAATTTGACTTACCTACCCTTACTTTGCCTAAACCGATCATTTGAATTTCATTAGTAGGCTATTCGAGCTAGAGTTAAAGTTTAAGTTATAGCTATATACGTCCCAATCCTGGGCACAGGCCTCCGCTCATTTCTGAAAGGGTCCTAGGGCAAGGAATTGTCCACCGCGCTGCCCCAACTATTTAAAAATGTATTTATTGCTTTTCGAAGTATTCTCCGCGAAATTTGACACATTTTTCCATACGATGGAATCAATCATTGAAGCAACCATTCCATTCGGAAGTTGGGGTCTCCAAAATGGCCGTTTTGTAGGCGTCCACAGCTTCTTCAGGTGATGAAAATCTCTGTCCACGCAATTTATTCTTTATTTTAGGGAAAGTATAGAAATCATTAGGGCTTAGGTCGGGGCTGTACGGTGGATGGTCTAATAATTCTATGTTTTCTTGCTCTAAAAACTCTTTTGTTCTGTGTGCGGTGTGAGAACTCGCTTTGTCGTGATGGAGGATGATGCGGCGGTTGCAGTTCTCTTTACGGAGTTCAGAAACGACCTGTGGCAAACGAATGCGAGCATACCATTCTGCATTAACCGTTCTTTGTCCCTCAAGAGGAATAGTCGTAACATGGCCGGTTTTGGAGACAAACGTGGCCACCATTTTTTTGCAACACTCCGTGAACGAACAATTTTTGTTGGCTTTAACTCATTTTCGAACACTCAAACTCGTGACTGGTTTTTTGTTTCGGGTTCGTACGCGTATATCCAGGACTCGTCACCTGATACGATGTTGTATACAGCATTTGAGGATCCTGCGTGGAATCTCTCGAGAGTTCTGACGCACCAAGTAACGCGAGCCGCTTTTTGCTCTTCACAGAGCGAATGCGGTATCCATCGGGAAAACAACTTTTTTACACCTAATTGTTCATGCAAAATTATTTGTATTTGACTCATGCCAATGTCTAAAGTTGCCTGAATTTCGCGGTATGTCACATGTCGATCTTCCTCAATCAGCTTACGCACAGCATCAACGTTTTCTTGGGTGAATGCAGTTTTTGGACGACCTTGACAGGGATCATTACTGAGCTTGACACGTCCACGTTGAAATTCAGCAAACCAGCGATAAATTGTGGTTTTGAATGGGGCTTCATCAATCACCAAATGCAGAAATCATCCGGTCAACACACAACATAACGTTTTTGTGATAAACCACTTCGAAAGTCATAATAAATCATCGCTCTTGAATTTTCCCGAGTCAATTCCATTTTCTCAACGACTAAACAAGTTTGACAAAACCTTGTGACAAGACCGAGAATCTTTTTTAAATAAATAAATGGTATTCGATTTTTAAAACCAAGGAGTTTTCAATTAAAAATATTTTAATATGACAGGAACAGTGGAAAT